GAATTAGAGAAGCGCCACTTGAATCCACAAGCAAGCTTGGCAACACAACAAAGGCTGGCCAGAACCTGATGAAGCCTAGAGTTGCTGATGCCGCAAAGGAATACGAGAAGCCAAAGGCCAAACCTAAGTCTGAGGTTAATCGGTCTAATTCGCTCATCCTCTTTAACGTACCTGTGAGCAAGGACAGTTTGCTTGAACAGCGGGCTCTGTTTGATCAGGAACAGTGGTCCAACCTGTGCAATAAACTAGGTCTGAACATTAGTTCAGTGAAATTGTGCAGGCTGTACAGGGGTGTCCACACACTTCAAGGTAAGCCACCCCCATTACGGGTTACACTGGACTCTGCCGAAGAGGCTGAGAAGGTACTATTGATGGCTCAGGTACAAGCCATCGACAGAAGTTCGAACATAAGGGTGAGATAAGACAGACCATGGGCTATCAGACAAATGGCGAGGGAGTCACCGGAACTGATACCTTCTACCTCTATGGTGGTACACGATGTTCCGGAGCTGGAAACGGGCACTGCCTGTGAAAAACACATGCATGACGTACAGCAGTGGAGATGGCTGTCATCTCAGATGGCCCTTGGCGCTTCTGGAGCCATCTCCATTTCCCGACTACCTCGCCCCGCTCATCTCACACTGATTAGCTCTCCAAAGCTGCTAAGTGTCACATTCAACTCCCCAGAGCAGTTGGCCATAGCTCTTCAACGGTGGTATGAGGTCAAGGGGAAAATAGGAGGACACATCCGATGCTGCGAAAGCAGACCTCGAACCATAAGGAAGCAGCAAACGGAGGCTTTAACACGTCCCCAAGCTTCAGTGACACTCGAGCGATGCAGTTCTGAGAACAACAGTCTGTGCCACCCAAGTGTCCTGCCTAAACCCAAGGGAAAAAACCGCAACGGGCCGGTTCCATCGGAACTGGCCAACTAGTCCCAACACTAAGTCCCCTACCAGCAGACAGCTTCACGTCAGCTACCCAACAACACGCTGAGGTTGTAAGACTCATTGTCAGCTGCCTATATAGCAATGTGAGGGGGCTGAGAGGAAAAATAGGTGAACTCCGAAGTCTCCAAGCACACCTACAACTGAAAACGATCATTCTCACCGAAACATGGCTAACCCCCACTATCGCCGATAATGAAATCAGTATAGGTGATATGGTTCTGGTCAGGAGAGACAGGGATAATAAGGAAGGAGGGGGAGTTGCCATATACTTTGATAGGCAACTTAAATGTGTTCGCGCAACGGACCCACCACTTATTGAACTCCCAGACTCCATATGGTGTCATTTCACCGTAGGCCACACCAAGCATTTACTTGGTGGCATCTACCGATCTCCCACCTGTGGGGCACAGCACTATCACAGGGATACGAGACTTGGGCTATGACCAAATCACCATTGCTGGAGATTTCAACGCCCCATCACTGAACCTTGGCTCGGGGTATGCTAAGGGAAAATTCGGCCGAAATCTACTGCAAGCCATTCGGGACACGGGACTGACTGAGAATGTTGGAGACGACACTAGGTGGGGCCCTAGTGGAAAGTCATCAAAACTAGACTATATTCTAACTAGTGACCAACTACTCGTCGAAAAGGTCTAGATCATGACTCCTCTAGTAAGTAGTGACCATGCAGTCATAGGTTTCGATCTCGTTCTCCGTGAGCACTTGCAGTGGGTAGCTACGCAACCATGTCTGTGTTACAGCAAGGCTGACTACGCTGAAATGCGGAGGCTGTTGTCCGATGCAGACTGGCCTTTTGCATGGGATGAGCTGTCTGTGGATGAACACTAGAAAGTGGTAAAAAAGATTATTCATACAGTAATCTCGAATACTGTCCCTTTAGTCACAACACAGCCCAAAAGAAAGTCATCATGGTTAAAAAGAGGCACGCAGCGTATTCTGCAAGCAAAGCGGAAGGTTTGGTTTACGTGGCGCGTATCTAAAAGCCAGATCGACCATGATGCATACCTGGAACTCAGGAACCGGTGCAATGCAAGAGTCAGGAGGTCATTCCAGGCTAACCTTGCTAAAAAACTCCCGGCAAACCCGAAGAACTTGTACCGGTTCATGTCGGAAAGGAAACCGACCAACCAAGGGGCTTGCGCCTTAGTAGGCCAAAACGGTCAATATCTCACTAGTCTGGAGATGGCTGAAACATTTAGTTTAGCCTTCGCCAAACAGCTAAACAGCAATGTGGACATTACCGTTACGAACCAAAATGGTGGCATGACTATTTCACAGGAGGAAGACCAAATAGCCACCCCCCAAATAAACCCTGCAATAGTACTGAGAAAGCTGCAGCGACTCATACCTGGGAAGTCCCCAGGTTGTGATGACATCAGGCCATCTGTTCTGAAACAGTGCGCCGAAGCTCTCTGTAAGCCTTTATGCGACTTGTTCCAACACTCCATGGAATCGGGGAAACCGCCAAGGGAATGGAAAAGAAGCATTCTTTCCCCGATCTTCAAGGGTGGGGATAGGCAAAATCCCACCAGTTATAGACAAGTAGCTCTACTCCCAGTGGTATCGAAAGTACTGGAAAGTATTATTGATGATCACATCAGGGAATATCTAGATAGGTCTAAAATACTCCATGAAGCCCAACACGGTTTCAGGAAAGGCAGATACTGCGTGACTAACTTAATATCAGCTTGGGACGACTGGAAATCATGCCGGGATATGAATGTTCCAGTACATGTGATCTTTCTTGACTTTGAGAAGGTATTTGACACTGTTCACCATGACCTTCTCCTACACAAAATAAGCCAGGTAGGTCTAGGTAAACCGCTTCTGTCATGGTTGAAGGACTACCTAACTGAAATGCAATTTTGCACTAAGGTTAATCGAGTCCGATCATCTTGGCACAACTCGTCATCAGGAGTGTCGCAGGGTTCTATCCCAGGAACACTGATGTTCTTGATTTTTATCAATGACTTACCATGCCGTCTAAACTGCCCGACTCTTCTATACGCTGACGACGTGAAGATATGGGGGGGGGCGATAAAGTGTCCGGAGGACTCAGATAGACTGCACGCAGAACTAAACCTTCTGGAAGACTGAACGATGGCCAGTGGCAAAGAAGTGAAATTACGCACCTGTAGACTGCAGAATGCAAGTTACACCCTGTTCAATGGAAGCTTGTCCTGCTCAACGTCGGAACGTGACTTAGGTCTAGTTCTAACGGAGAAAATGGACACAAGCGTAAATTACGCGGGGGATGTAGCGAAGGCATATGCGGTCGTACACTTTACACATAGACAATTAGGTGCACTCACTCCTGATCTGCTTCTAAGGTTGTACAAACAATACGTCAGACCGCATCTTGAAGTGCATAAAATCATTGCACTCCATTGCTAAGAAGAGACGCCAACCTCTTGGAAAGAGTCCAAAGACGGGCAACAGAAGGAGTGGTTGGTCTCCGAAACAAACCATATGATGAAAGGCTGAAGAAATGAGGCCTATTCACACTCAGTTACCTTCGCCTTAGGGGGGATTTGATTACTGCCTACAAAATAATAAATGATCAGAATCACCCGAACAAAGGTGTTCTGCCATTGGGTAGGTATAGGCTCCCTCGTGGAAATCCTAGAAGGATATCTCATCAGAGGGCAAGGACCCGGGTGCGCTCCCACTTCTTTTCCCTGCGGGTGTGCCGTCCCTGGAATTCCTTACCGGCAGATGTAGCTATGGCACCATCTGTGGACGCCTTTGAGCGAAGGCTGGACAACCATGCAGCGACACAAGGACTGCATCCAAATGGCCTATCCCCTTAAAATCCCATACACCATTCAGATGTAGACAACTAAGTTCGTCCTTTTACTTCTTTACATTCTCTTCAGTCTTGCTCTCCTGACATCTTTAACTACACCTATTATTATTATCTTTATTACCGGTATATATACATATACCGGTTGACTGACTGTTGTTACGTTTTCTTATTCTTTCTCTGTCTGTTATTCTGAATACCTTCACTGATTATATCCATTATTATTATCTCTTTTCCATTGACGACTATACCGAAGGACTAACTGGTGAAAGGATCAACTCCATTCACAGTAGTAACAGTCTTAACACACCTCATACTACAAACCACATATAATTAACCCCAGCACTACTCCTGTTGGAGTCAACCAAAACTACGACAGTCGAGTGGGGCGGGACGAGCTACTCAGAGGTTTACTGAAGATCAGAAACCTATACCTCACAATCAAGAGGCGATCACAAAGAAATCAAATTGGTTTACACTATCTCGCAAAAACGATATTGGATATTGGATAATAACTGACCCTCAAATTGGTGGTGCACAAAAGCACTGGTTGAGATTAATATGCCCTATTAGAGAATCCGGAGGCTTTGGGGCAGTCTCAGGGTATTCAAGATATATAATGCACATTCCCTAAATTTTCGCTCAAATATTTACGTTGATTTGCCATCGTGACCATTAAATTACACACAAACTGTTTACTTGGGTGTTTCTGCAGGAAAGAGTTGAAGACACTGACGTTCTACAGACAGTCTATGATGCCTGTTTCTGCAGTCGCATAAGTCCATTCCAACTACCATAGTCAATCATTCTAAAATGAAATGAATTCAAACCAAAAGACTTACTGGTGCGTATAATATGAAATAAAATTTTTATTATACGACTAAAACAGCCTAAGAGTTTGCAAATTTTATTGACTTAATTACTGGCGGTTTACCGGCATAAATTGTTGCTTCTATAATATTTCTTCAATTCACAAATAAGTAAGAATAAAAAGAGCTTTCTATTCTGTTTTGTGGACTTACCACAGCAATAATATTAACGAAATCTGGAGCGTGTTTTATCCCTTCATCTAAAGTGCCGTATACTGTATATCCCTGAATAACACCTGATGGCTTGGTTTCCTCTTCATTTTCCTCCTCCATAGCCTCTTCATCTTCATTTTTGAGGATTTTGCCGCTGTGGATTGTGTCGAGAACTAAGAATAAAGGATTGATAAATTTCAATACCTGTGCGATATTACATTCATCGTATCTGTTAACATTAGCAATAAAGACCTTTGGACTTTTCGATGTATCCATTTCCGTTTTGAAAGTTCATGTTATTCGTCGTCATAACGATGAATTTCATTGGTTCCAATATCCAATATCGTTTATACGAGATGAAGTAATTACTAAACCAAGAATTAATATCGTAAAAGATAATTAAAATACAAATCCAGCATACAATAATTGTCTGATTTATGTAATTCGAATCCAATATATCCAATATGGTGTTGACGAGCTAGAATAGACCAATTTGATTTCTTTGTGATCGCCTCTTGATTGTGAGGTATAGGTTCCTGATCTTCAGTGAACGTCTGTGTAGCTCGTCCCGCCACTCAACTGCCATAGCTTTGTTTGACTCCAAAATGAGTAGTGCTGGGATTAATTATATGTGGTTTGTAGTATGTGCTGTGTTAAGACTTTGTTCCTACTGTAAATAGAGTTGACCTTCCAAAAGCTGGTCCTCCGGTATCGTCTTCAAAAGAAGAGAGATAATAAATATAACAGATACAACGGGTGTAGGATATCCAGGACATCTATGCGCCGGTGGCGCAGCGGTTAGGACGCTCGCCGACCATGCACGTGATCCACGGTTCGATCCGCGGCCGACGCACACCCGATATCATTGGTCGGCCTGCAAAATTTGGGCTACCGATATCACATGCTGAAAATTCCATACTTGTATCAAAGAATACTATGTGGAGTCAAGCTAAAATAAATTAAAAAAATAAAAGTCAGGAAAAGAAAAAAGAAAACGTAAAAACAGACATCCAATTAAATTTAAAGTTGATATACATATATAAATATATATATGTACATAACATCAGTAATGATAATGATAATAAAAATAAATGCAGTAGTTTGAGAGGTTAGGAGAGTAAGACAGGAGAGAATGTAAAGAAGTGAATCGAAGAATTTAGAAGTTTGCCCATGATTTCGCTATGGGATTTTAGGGACTAGGCTATTCGAACGCACTCATTGTTCCAACCTTCATTTAAAGCTGTCCAGAGACAGTGCCGTAGGTACATCTGTCAGTTAGGAGTTACAGCGATTGCAAACCCTCAGTGAAAAGAAGGGAGTCGCACCCTAGTCTTTGTCCTCTGGTGAGCTATCATTCTGGGATTTTCGCAAGGAAGCTCATAACTATTCAATGGCAGGACTCATTTGTGTGATTATCATGGTCACTCATTATTTTGTAGGCAGTTTTGCTATACGGATCAGAAACTTGGTGAGTCACAAAGAATATTTCTAACAGGTTGCAGACCCTTATCAACAACTGTCTTCGCTGGTTCTATACTGAAGATCAGATGGCCGGAAAGAATCACAAACGAGAAGCTATGGGAAGAAACAAAACAAGAACCAGTCGCTCAATAAATATGCAGGAGAAAGTGGAGATGGATGGACACTCGCTGAGGAGGCCGCTGGGTGACATCGCGCGTCAGGGCATAGCTCGAGTGGAACCCGCCGAAAAGGAAGCGGCGAGTAGTGGGACGTCCAAGGGTGACTCGGAGGAGGTCGTGTGAAGAGGAGCTGAAACGTATGGACTAACATGGATGCAAGTGAAGAGTACAGCAGAAGACAGAAGGAGGTGGAGACGCTGAAGCAGATGAAGCCCTATGTTTCGCTAGGAACGCAAAGGAACAAGAATATAATAATAATAATAATCAAATCCCTCCTAAGCCGACGGTAGCTAAGTGTGAATAGGCCTCATTTCTTCAGCCTTTCATCATATGGTTTGTTTCGGAGACCAACCACTCCTTCTGTTGCCTGTCTTTGGACTCTTTCCAAGAGGTTGGCGTCTCTTCTTAGCAATGGGGTGCAATGATTTTATGCACTTCAAGATGCGGTCTGACGTATTGTTTGTACAACCTTAGAAGTAGATCAGGAGTGAGTGCACCTAATTGTCTATGTGTAAAGTGTATGACTGCATATTCCCTCGCTACACCACCAGTATTGTTAACGCTTGTGTCCATTTTTCCGTTAGGACTAGACCTAAGTGTCGCTTTGACGTTGTGCAGGACAAGCTTCCATTGAACAGGGTGTAACTTGCATTCTGCAGTCTACAGGTGCGTAATTTCACTACTTTGCAATTTTTCACATTGAAAGTCATGCCACTGGCCATCGTTCAGTCTTCCAGAAGGTCTAGATCTGCGTGCAGTCTATCTGAGTCCTCCGGACACTTTATCGCCCCCCCCCATATCTTCACGTCGTCAGCGTATAGAAGAGTCGGGCAGTTTAGACGGCATGGTAAGTCATTGATAAAAATCAAGAACATCAGTGTTCCTGGGATAGAACCCTGCGACACTCCTGATGACGAGTTGTGCCAAGATGATGGAACTGGATTGACCTTAGTGCAAAATCGCCTTTCAGCTAGGTAGTCCTTTGCCCATGGATGAAATGGCCCACCTATATCTGCCTGAATTATTTTGTGTAGGAGAAGGTCATGGTGAACTGTGCCAAATGCCTTCTCGAAATCTGAGTAGACCACATGGATGGGAATATTCACATCCCACCATAATGCCCGAAGCTGATAGTACGTTTGTTACACAGGATCTGCCGTTCACGAAACCATGTTGCGCTCCATATAGTCCAGTAGTACTATCAAGGTGCTCCCTGATGTGATGATCAGTAATATTTTCCAGTACTTTTGATACCACTGGGAGTAGCGCACCGATCTATAACTGGTGGCATTTTTCCTGTTCCCACGCTTGAAAATCTGAGAAATGATAGCTCTTTTCCACTCCCTTGGCAGTTTCCCCGATTCCATTGAGTGTTGGAACAAGTCGCGTAAGGGCTCACAGAGGGCTTCGGTGCACTGTTTCAGAACAGATGGCCTGACGTCGTCACAACCTGGGGACTTCCCAGATGTGAGTTGCTGTAGCTTCCTTAGTACTATTGCCGGGTTTATTTCGGGGAGTAACCACTAGGTTTTCCTCCGGTGAAGTAGTAACTTCTCCATTTTGGTCCGTACCGGTAATACCACCATTGATGTTAGACTATTTGGCGAGGGCTATACTGAATGTTTCTGCCATCCCCAGATTAATGAGGCATTGATCGTCCGGACCTACTAAGGCAGCTGGACCCTGGTTGGTCGGTTTTCACTCCAGATACACTCCTACTTTGAATCAAAACTGCTTTGAGCCTATCGTACTAGTTGTCTGCTGGGGCGCTGTCAACTATATCGCTAATGTCCACTAGAACCTCTGTGGGTAGTGCGGCTAAAACACATCCATACTTCGCGATCTGTGACTTGGTTCCGCGGGTAGCAAGAGGGGGTTCGATGATGGTGAACCAAATCCGCGGCTCAGTGAAACCGAATAGCGGTAGAAGCAGATCAACTATTGCGTTGATTGATGAGTCCTGTGCCTCGTTAGTCTCAGTTGCAGCAGGTGAACGTGTAGGTGAGGACATGATTATTATGCGAATATACATGTAAACAGATATAAATATATATAGAATGTTCAGTCAAAACAAAATGATAACAATATAAATATAGAGTTTTTGTAAAGCTATGAAGTTCAAACGGGCTCACCAATTAATGTGTAGGGGACTGTCTAGAGCAAGATCATTAGCATAACAAATATGCGAATAAAAATCGAAGTCAATGAGAGTACAATGCAACAATATATTATCAAAATGCAGTAATGAGTGATATTAATTAATAGGTTACTTGGATGTACTGTTAAAGCCCACTGCTACAATCTGAATAGTGAAACAGATTATCTAATGTCAAGGAATGATTCCAGATACCACCTAATGAGGCCAGAAACCAATATATGCAACAGGATTATTTTCGGTTGCTGCAAACCATAGCCCCTCTTGCAGCACAGTTTGTTCAGGGAATAGTAGACACGCTGACAATGTCTCATCTGAGAATCCCTCCGAACATAACATAGGCAACCAGGAGTTAGGGATAATAACAAGAAAACCCACTAATTACCCTCCCAACAAAACTGGTTTTCTATAAATTATGCTCTTAAATGCTCGATCTCTCCTTAACAAAATAACTTCCCTTCGCAGCTTGGTATACATGGAACGGTCAAAACTGATCCTGGTAACCGAAAGTTGGCTAACTAATGATATACCTGACACAAAGCTGATAATTGATAACTATGACATCCACAGGAATGATAGAGTGGACAAAAGAGGAGGCGGGTGTCTAATATATGCTTCTAAATCTACTGACCCCAATACTTTTACAAACCTAACTATCGACAAACTCCCAGAATCTAAGTGGATAAGCATCCACACGAATGAAAATAAAATTCTAGTGGGATGTATATACGGAGCCCCAGCAGCCCTAAAACGACTGATACGGTCATCGCGGAAATACTAGAGCGTGTACCTACTCTGGAATTCAACTACAAAATAATTTGTGGCGATTTTAACCTCCCCGGAGTGAACTGGGATACCTGCACTGGACCTAGAATCTATGACGAGCTCCTAGAAGCTATAGATGTAGGAGGATGGAAGCAGTGCGTACGCCTCCCAACACGACATAACAATATTCTCGACTTAGTCCTCTGCCACAAAATAGAGCTGATCTCGATAGAGGTGGAGGATAAACTCGACAACAGTGATCACAACATACTGTACTGCACCCTACCTCTTCAACTAATAACTAAACACACACCTAAAAATTCCCCGGTTCACTATCAATATAGGGACTATAGAAATGCCGACTGGGAATTCCTACCAACGCTCTTGAGAAGCTCTGACTGGGATGAATACTTTACCAATGATAACTTAGAAGTAACACTTGATACCTTCTACAAGACGGTCAGTTCGGTAAGAGATACAATCGCACCCCTAAAGTCTGTCTTAAGGACACCAACTCTTTTCATAGACAGCAAAACGCGATTAAAACTGAGGAAATTGAAAAGGAAATTTTATTTATATAAAGAATTTAGTGCATTACACCAGATACATGAAACATTTAAAAATCTTGAGGAGAGACATAAAATGAAGGCACAACTCGAGGAAAATAAAGCCCTAGGGGGCACCTCTAAAACCCAGGAACTCTGCAAGATCTTGCAAAAACGACTAAACAAGAGTAAAGAAAATAATGTCGGCCACTTGGAGCATGAAGGTATAATTTATG